AGTACTTTTACTATACTAAACTGGTATACTTAAAGTCTGCTAAATTGGAACAACTAATTTTGTACTTAATGTACTGTAATTGTGCGGAAGTAGTGCTGAAGTCCAACTAAAGACATACTGAAGTATATATGATTGTGCTAAAGTGGAAGTCTTGCAAGTATACTTCAGGTCTTTTTTTGGACGGTTCATTGTTGCATGAGTTGCATTAAGTTTTGTGTCCCAAAAATATGCAGGCTTGGATCTGTATCTTGAAAAAAAATTCAGCTGATTTGGGGGGAAAAAAAATATATCAACAAAATATCAACAAAAATTCTCTGTCACATAGTTTTTTCACAAAATATGAATGAAGATTTAGAATATATATAAAGTCTTGCAAGTATACTTCAGGTCTACTTTAAATATCTTGCATTTAAAGACGGATATTATTCAAAGATCATACAATCCTCATCAATAGTGACATTAAAACACATTTTAGGCATAATGTTAAGAAATGAGCATTGTGCAATAAAGAAATACTCCAAATAAATTTTCATTATAATTTAATATCAGTAAGTCTGAAGTGATGTCAATAAATATGTTAATGGATTTGAAGTATACTTAGTATGAAATAAACGTAAATTATGGCATAGGTTTTGGTACTAGGGTCTAGTAAAACACCCACAGATATAGCAATCATGCATACATATCTTTTTTTTTTTTTTTTTAATTAGTAAGAAATGAGTATTGGATTTCACTGTGCAATGATGTAATTTTCATGCTTGGGTAAACTTTTTTTTTTACATCTCAGTTAAATTACATCATTGCATATATATGAAAGAGACAGTTGGGAATACAGAGATTTTACTTATTTAATGCCCTCCTGTAACAGTGCCTTTTGTTTATGGCTTTTATACTTTCTAGGCTGTTCATGCTACTGTTTTAGCCGGTTTCTCCACAGGCGTAGTTTTCCTTTGAAGCACCGGAGCATTTGGTTGTAATGAGGGAGCCGCAATTAGCGTCAGTCCCAAAAAATGAGGCTGCAGTTGGGGGCGGGGTGGGTGCGAGACTTAATTTAGCCGAACTGCACGGGCATGTTGTGTGAAGATGGATCTGTTGGGGTTCCTCCCCCCCGCAGGGTCGAATTCGCTGCTATCAAAACACCATCCATTATGGCTCTGACAGCTCCTCCTGGGGACCTGGGCTCTGCTAGACCTACAGGGAATTTCCGTCCTTGCCCATGAAAAGAAATGGATGCAGAAAAGAAAAATGTTGGGGAGAATGAAAGAAAGAAAGGAGAGGTGATTCATCACGGCCAGACTTTTTTGGTAAACGCAGAGGGGGGGGGAGGCGAGGAGGAGACGCAGAGATGAAACGGAGAGCCTCGCTTTGGGATGCGCTGCAAAGTTAATGAAAATCACAGTCGGCCTGCTGGGTCTTTGCAGGAACATCTTTTTAAAATGAAAACCCGTTTCATGCAGTGTCGGAGAAGCTACTTTAAAACTAGCTTGCCAAGTAACGAGCTACTCGTAATTTAGAGTACAGCTACTATAAAGCTATCCATTTGAGAAAGTAGTTTGCTACTGTGAGCAAACAGAAGGAGACAACACAGGTAAATGACGGTCTAACAGAGCTTTATTACAGGCTTCAGGAGAGAGCAAGAGATGATCACAGGTGAGATAATATGGCTGAGAATCTTGAGCATAGACTGAATAGTCACTGTGGGTCTCTTTGCATGGTGAGGCTGAGACAGTGTGCTGGGATGAAGACAGACGATGATGGCAGACAACGAACAGGTAGGTAGAGCAGGTAAGCAGCCAGGTAAGTCGATACACGCTAGTGAACAATAAGACCAGACACTGAGGTGGCGATGGGAAGGTGGTTAAATACTGAGACTGATGAGTGCTGACAGGTGAAGAGCATCAGAATTCTGGTGGAGCTGAAGGTTAAGTAAACCTTACAAGTTAAACTTACAAGTTAAGTAGCTAACTACATAATACCTATTAAGTTGTATTTTATACCAAAACATAAATAAAGGATGGATAATAATCAGGGCCCGTATTCACAAAACATTTTATCTTACCACTAAGAGTTCTCCTAAATAGCAGTAAAAGTTTTTAGCTAAGAGTTTCCTCTTAAAACCTATTCACAAAGCTGCTGAGACAAACTTTTACTAAGGAATAGAGAGAAGTCTTAAGCTCAGAGTAAGGGGGCGGGGTTGACCTCGTTGCTATGGATGATGTCAGCGTGCTTACTAACTATGCACACAGTGATTGGCTGATAGTCTCTGTCAGAGATTTATTCATGCAAATATTGTAGAGCGCAATATTATGTTGCCGTATTCAAATAAAGGTTTAAAAAATAAAAAATGTTAATTGCCACATTCAAATTGGGCCTGGCCCTCCGTCCCTCCCCCAGTTCCGCCTCCACTCCACCACCCTCCTGGACTTGTTGAGTTTTGTTTGTGTTTGTTTGGGCGTCTGAAGCCGCCCTTAGAGGGGGGGATATGTAATGTGGGGTTTGGTGTTTGGGTTTTGCTTCATGTTCATGTTTTCCATATCTTTTATTTTGTAATTGTTCATGCTGTCAGTGTCATGCTTCCCTTGCCCTCTTGTCTTCGTGCTATTGGTTCCTCTGTTCTTTGTGTCATGTTCTGATTGGTTGTCCTAGTCATGTGTCTTGTTTCCCATTGGTTTGTTCTTGTCATGTGACCCTCGTTGTCTGATATAAGTAGCCATCATTTTGCCATTGTCTCTCGACGTGTATTGATGTTGTAACCCGCTGTCGGTGAGTCTAGTCTGTTCATGCCTAGTCAAGTTAAGTCAAGTCTGTTCAAGTCAAGTCTGTTCCTGTCAAGTCAAGTCTCGGATTATTGTTTGGATATTTGAATCACACTGTAAATAAACTGCACTTGGGTTCTTCACTATGCTCGCCTTCAGTGGACTAATTCGTTACACCCCTTTAAGCTAAGAGCAACCTCATTGCTATGGATGATGTCAGTATGCTTACTAACTATGCACATAGTGATTGGCTGATAGGGGAGTGGTCTCTGTCAGAGATTTATTCATAGAAATATTGTAGAGTGCAATATTATGTTGCCATATTCAAATAAAGGTTTAAAAAAAAAAATGTTAATTGCCACATTCAAATAAAGATTTTAAAATGCAGGATAAGTGTCACTAATTAAACAAGTATATGTTCAGCTTATTGTCAGCCACTTACATGAGGCTGTATGCTTCTCAAAAACAGTTAGCGGATATGCATATAAACAGCCTTTTAATTAACAGAGTAGAATAATCCTAGCTGAAAGTAATACATGCAAACATAAAAATAAAAAAAACTGGATGCAAGAACAGCTGTTACTTCTTGCCCAACTGGTTAGTGAAAACAAGGATATAATCAAAGGAAAATTAGGAGTTGGTGTAACCTCCAAAACCAAAGGTGATACCTTTTTAAAAGCTCATTATCATCAAATGTTTCTAAAATGTTTATGTTCCGTCAGTTAATTGCCAGCCTCTTACATGTGTGCTCCTCGTAATTTTGCATATATGCATATAAACAGCCTTTTAATTAACAGAGTAGAATAATCATGGCTGATAGTAAGGCGTGTAAACGTAAAAGAAAACCAAACTGTACGCAAGAACAGCTGTTACTTCTTGCCCAACTTGAAAACAACAGTCATAATACCCTAGTGATTAAGTCTATACCTTTTTAAAAGCTCATTATCATACAACTTTTCTAAAATGTTTCTGTTCCGAGGCAGATTGCCAGCAACAGCCATTTTAGGATAGTTTGTGACTTGGTCTTAGTGACTTAGGAGTCCTCTTCACTATTCCTATCGTTTCACAGATTTAGGAGTTAGTTTTAGCGCTAAAACACTTTGTGAAATAATCTTAGAGCAAAAATGTAGAAGTCCTACATTTAGGCCTGACATTCAGATTTCAGATATACATTTGTATTTATATAGAATTATATTTTAATAAAAGATATATTTATGTATCAATTCTTAATTGTAATACTTTGTGTGTTTATACACACACATTGTTTAAATATTAGTATATCACTTTATATACTTAATATATAATATGATATATTTATATATTTAACATATAATATTACCATGAACAGTATATGCCCCAAAATATGCAAAAATGTTAACATATTTGGGAAAAAATAATATATGAACACATGAATAAAAAATTTAATAATACATTATACATAAAATATATTAAAGTTTAATATCTTTATTTATAAATATGCGTATATGTATATAGTAAATGCCCAAAAATATTAAAAAGTATTATATTAACTATGACAGATTTTTACATTTTATTATTTTCATCTAGCTTTGTTTTTTGGGGTTGTGACCCACCAGTTGAACCACTGGTATAGTAGAGTTTAGGGAGAGTTTAGTCTAAAGTCTAGACGCAGTGTTTGAGTACAATACAGAGACCATCAAACACACACACACACACACACACACACACACACAGCTGCAGCGGGTGAGGCTGGGTGTGTTTTAGACTCGTTTTTAAGTACCGTTCACCCTGAATTACCGATCATTAGAGCTCTAACAGTTTTACTGCCTCTGTAAACAGGATAATGACCCCACACTCACCTTTAACTCTTCATTGAGTTTCACAGGACACACACACACACACACCTCCAGCCAGCATGGCTCACTCGCTCGTAAAGTTACCCACCATTTGCTACCAGAGCTCTCGGCGTGCAACAGGTGTTAAGAGAGAGTCATTCATGGGTGAGGTGTTTATAGTCGCTGCTGTAAAACTCCTGCTTCAGGATCAGTTTAATACGCACGCCTCTTTATTTTAGATCTTGTTGAGCTTTAGATGGCTGACCTGGGCTCAGTTGTTGTCTAATTACAGGTTGAGACCTCCTCTGTCACTGTGTGCGTATCCTCTGGGTTTAGAGAAAGGCTTTGGTGGTTGCTAGAGCCGTCACCCTTGGTTACAGGATAGCAATTTGTAATGACTTTGTGGCTTGGTGTCTAAATCCCAGCTGGCAGCTCTCCGATTAGCGCATGGGCTTTCCTTTAGAATCTAGGGCTTTATTTGCCAAGATACACAAGGAATTTGTTTGGCTGCACATGCAAACACAGTACAGACACGAAACACAGTTCAACGGAGGAAACTGGAACCTGATTCTTCAAGTCCTATTGATTTTTGTGTTGTTTCTATTATTTTATTTACACTACTGTTTGGAATAATTATGATTTTTAAATGTTTTTGAAAGAAGTCTCTTCTGCTCACCAAGGCTGCATTTATTTTATCAAAAATAAAGTAAAATCAATTAAATTGTGAAATATTATTACAATTTAAAATAACTATTTTCAATATATTTTAAAATGTAATTTATCTTGAATGTAATTTAATAAATTTTTATTAAAATACATTTGAATAAATTTTAAAATGTAATTAATCTTAAAAAAATCTAATTATGTCTTTAAGATGAAAAAATGTATGTAAATCTCAATGTTTTTATATAATATATAATATAAATTATTAAAATAATTTATTTTTATATATTAAATTACATGTTAATATGAGATTAAGTTTTATTAAATACATTTTAAATAATTGAAATTAAATAATTGAAATAAAAAGTTTAAAATGTAATTCTTCTTAAAATATCTTAATTATGTAAATCGTAATTATTTCTAATATATATAAAATATGTATGTATAATATATTATCATATTTTATTGTTTATGATATAATAATATTAATAGATAACATAATCATATTATTTATTATATTTTATAATGTATTCATTATAATTTTATATATTATTCTCAAATATGTTAATACATTTGCATATTTTTGGGTATATACAATAATACAGTAATATATAAGCATATATAGCACAGCAGATTTGTTCAGTGTTGAATTGTGGAGTGAAGGTACTATGTGTTTCTTTGCCTCCTTCGTGCATCAGAAAGGGCCCCCAAATATTTGACTTGCTGCGTAGTGTTGTTATGTGTTTGGCGTGCGTGTTGGGCCGTGTACGAGTGTGTGTGTGTGTGTGTTTGGAGTGAACAGGCAGAGGCATGAAGCTCGTAAACTTGGTCTCGTGGTGAGAAGAGGGGTTCAGTGAGGGGTCAGCTTTTAACCCCCTTAAAGAGTGGGACGGGCCCGGCCCCGCTGGGGATACGGCTCTTATCTCTGATTGGTCAACTAACGGGAGGAGCTGAGAGAGATGCTCACAAAAGTGTTTATAGTACCTGCTCTGAATGTTCGACCTCTAACGCTGCTCTTCATGTTTATCTCTGGTTTTACTCTGCTTTTAATGCAGCATTAATCGAGAGAAGAGCTCCTTAAGCTGTGGTGTGCAACATAATATGTACAATTTATTATAAAAGCCTATAAAATACACATTTTAATTGGCATTTTTATTTTTCCATGTGATCTCCATAAATTGTAATATAGTTTTGTGTGTTTAAGACTCCAATACATAATGTACAGTACATTGCAATGTGAATAGTAGGATGCTTGGGAAAAAGATGATGCATTTTTTTATGTCTTTAATGCTCACCTAGGCATCTATTTGAATACAAATATAGTAAAAACAGTAATATTGTGAAATATTATTATTTAAAATAATTATTTTCTTTGTGAATATATTTTAAAATGTAATTTATTCCGGTGATTCTCCTCACCCATGTCTCTAATGTCATATGGTCTTTAACATTTCAGATGGTGACACCTCTCACAGAGTGTGTAATTCACTTCCTATGAATTCAAAGTAGAACTTCCCCTTCTTTGTGAAGGTTAAAATGGAAGCGAAGCACCTGGGGTGATGCAGAGCGGTCATTAATCATGTGTGGACTTGTGCCCTGGCACTCGGAGGTCAGAAGTCACAGGGAATTTTTTAGGCTGAGAAAGAGCAGAGCTGTGCCGCTGCCCGGGGTGTGAGGTCAGGGGGTCAAAGGTCAAGCGTAGCATGGGAATAAATGCAGAAAGCATTGAAGTTCTGTGGAACGTGTTAATTTATGTTCTGTGTTAAAATAAACTAGTGTTCTGAAAATTTGCCAGCAATAGCATGTTGTGGGTGGTTGCTATGGTGTTGCTAAGTGTTTCTTACTGGCACAAATCTCTCAGCTTTGTTATTCTGGTCTCTAGTCTATTGGATTTTTCATCCACAGTCATAAATCTGATCATTTTTAGACTTAATAAGCTGCATGATTTGAGGAATCATTCACGTCTGGAGCATAAACGGTGCTGGATGAGTTACATGCCAAAGTTTAATACTCTGGGTTTGTTCAAATCCATAATCATAAGTATGAGCAATAATTTTAATGATGTTTGCCTTTGATAGAAGCCAGCAGCATTAATAGAACTTAAATGTGCTTTTATTGTCTTTTTTTATTTTTTTTTTTACTGTTTTCAACCCTGTTCTTTCCTTTGCTTCATCAGGTTTATCAACGCCAGGAGAAGAATAGTCCAACCGATGATCGACCAGTCCACACACACACACACACACACTCACTCACTCACTCACTCTCACACAGATGCACACGCACACACACTCACTCACTCACTCTCTCTCACACACAGATACACGCACGCACGCACACACTCACTCACTCACTCACTCACTCACACACAGATGCACACTCACTCACACACAGATACACACTCACACACACACAGATACACACCACACACACACACACACACACACACACACACACACACACACACACACACAAACAAACACACACACACACACTCCTCAGGATGAAGTGTGATGCATGTTGGTCTGGTGAGGATTAAGGCTTGCTGCTTGCAATGGACCTCAAAGACATTTGTCCTAACAGATGCTTACGAAATTATTTTTCAAACTTTTCTGACCCATTTTTGTTGCTTGGTTTCAGTAAATGGTCTGGGTGAACTGGAAAGGGAGTGTTGTTAGCATCGCATCTGTTTACACATTTCCTCTGGGAAGCGGCTGGCGTAGTAATGTCTGACCTTCTTAACTGTCTCTTGTGTGTGTGTAATGCATGCATATGTGTGTGTGTGTGCGTGTGCAGTAGGTCACGGTGGCCCGTACACTCCTGATGGTCAGCCAGTGGGTGGTTTTGTAATGGACGGGCAGTCACACATGGGCATCAGACCACCAGGTACATCAAGCCTGTCTAAATATTCAGATGTTTGAGGGACAAAATGAACATCCAGCCTGAAATGAAGTCAGCAAAGCACTGCTTGATTTATAAAATGCTCCTGAAAAGGATGATTCATCCCAAAAACTAAATCAATATATAAGAAATAATATTTTGCCTTAAAAAAAAAGAAGCCAACAGTTTGATGTGGTATTTAGAACATTTAAGCACACTTTACCTCTCGGTTCTCATTACTGTACACAAAAAATTAACACTTTTATTCAGTAGTGATGCATTAAATTGAAAAGTGTTAGGACAGACATTTATAATGTTACAAATGATTTCCGTTTCAAATAAATGTTGTTCTGTTGAATTTTAATATATATAAAATTAAAATATTGTTATCAAATATAATCAGAAGTATGCAAAATTCCTAAATGAAAACTTTCTTTACACAGTATTTACTAAAAATTCACCAGAAACATTTGAAAATAAAATGTGAAAGGTCCGTTGTCAAGGCTGTTGGTCGATGTTTTTGTGAATATATTATATAGTGAATATATAATAGCTGAGAAATGCATTTCATGCATTAAAGTCTCTCTCTCTGTCTCTGTCTCTGTCTCTGTCTCTCAGCAGCTCTGGGTGGTCTTGGGGGAGTGAATATGGGGCTGGAGAGTCAGTGGCACTACATGTAAATACACCCCTGGCATCCTGCTGAACACAGCAGAGCAGAGGTACCATACTGCACCAGGCATTCCCCTCGAATGAAAGCAGCTCTCACGGCTGTTTGCCCCAGCTAACAGTCATACTTCTCTCACGTTTCCAATGATTTTTCAAAGTCATCAAACAGAGTAGCATAGTATGTTTCACAAGGAAATACTTTCTCAGTGTTTAGACTTCATGAAAATGTCATGTTTATTCAGTGTGTTACTTGCTGTTTCTTTGTGAAATTTACTAGCAGTCCCCATCCAGTAATTCCACCGTCACATGGTATTAACCGGCCAACCTGATTAACTAGTCACTTAATTACTCAGTGGAGACAGTTTATGACATCGGAATCAGTTAATGTCTCAACCCACAGGAAAAGATAAAGATGAAAGCGGCTGTTTTGATGGAAATGTCGGCTGAATTGATTTGCGACAGCGCCGTCGCCAGTAATGTTTCCTCATAAATTATTTCAACTCTTTTTCCATTACAGAGTCAGGCGTTTTGGCGAGAGGATCGATCCTTTGCTCACGTACCCGGAGTTTTCGGATGGATTCGGAAATTGGATTTTGACTTGCACCACCATGAACGGCCTTTATTCAAATACCCTAAAGAAACCCCTACAGCTTTACTCTTGGAACGAGGTGCCGTCCTCGTGATACAGACGCTTTCAAGATGGCCACCAGGACTCACGTTCCCTGTGATGGGCAGATCAAGCGTATCAGGACAGAGAGAAAACAATACAGGAAAAAGAAATGCCTCAACACCTGGACGGAGAGATTCCTTCATGTGACCTTTCACCTGGAACCAGGTGAATCTTCAAGTGGCCTGAAAGGCCCAAAAAAAAAAAGTCTCATGTTTCAACTCAAGTGCCACCTGAAATAAAGAGTCATTATTCTGCAGACAAAAACCCGGGAGTATTTTTGCAGCGACAGACATCGACGTCACCCTACCACACGTCTGCGTCACACTTCGCAGGCATCTGTTACAGGAGTTCTCGATCTAATCTGTGCAAAGCAATTCAATACAAAGCCGTAAATGTATATAATGTTGCTGGATGTGTCAAACGTGATACAGAAAAGGTTCATAAACGCTGGTATTGCCCGATGAATGCAACTAAAGGTTTCTCACACATCATTTACTGCAGTATAAATGCACTCAGATGCATCTGGACGGTCAATGATTTTGAAAGGTACTAATGATTGTTTTGGATTTGACTGACGTGAGCTGAGCTGTATATTCACACTGTGCGTGTGTGTGTGTGTGTGTGTGTGTGTGTGTTTGGTTTTCAGTGAGTGTGGGTTTATTCACATAAAAATTCATACCTCAACACGTGTTATATCATTTTTGTTGCACGTCTGCTTCGATTAATTGACTGTGTTTGGAATGGACTACTAGTGTACTGCTTTCTATACAGTATATTATGTACAGTGCATACCAATTTTAATAATAGTGCACTACTGTTCAAATGTTTGGGGTCACTAAGGTTTTAAATTGATTAAAAGTGACAGTAAATACATTTGTAATGTTACAAAAAATCTATTTCAGATAAATCCTAAAAAAAAAAAAATGTATTATGGTTTCTACAAAAATATGAAGCAGCATAACTCTTTTCAACATTGATAATAATCAGAAATGTTTCTTGAGCAGCAAATCAGCATATTAGAATGATTTCTGAAGGATCACGTGATACAAGACTGGAGAAATTATGCTGAAAATTCAGCTTTGCATCACAGGAATAAATTACATTTTACAATATATTCACATAGAAAGCAGTTATATTGATTTGTAGTAATATTTCACAATATTACTGTTTTTATTGTATTTTTGATCAAATAAATGTATCTTTGGTGAGCAGAAGAGACTGCTTTCAAAAACATTAAAAACTCCAAACCTAAACTTTTGAATGATAGTGTATGTAAAACAATATGCAATTATCAATGTTTCAAACAGATGTGACCTTAGTATGTTTCTTTCGGTATCAACTCAAAAATATGTTTAACTTCAAATTTTATCCAGTTTTGTGTAAAATTTGCTTTTATTGGAAGTCTAAAACTCTGTCAAGAGTTGTACCAAATAATTCTAAAAACGGTTTACCAAATAATGAGAATAATGAGACAAGAAGGCACCATGTCCAGAGTACTTGTCACACTGAATATGGAAGGTCAAATTGAGCACATTGCATTGTGGGATACAGTGTTCCACTGTGTGGCTCAGTTAAATACTACACATTTTGGCAAACATAGTATGTATTCTATGCATACTGTATATTATTTACCTACTATTTACTGGAGAAATAGTAGTATGCTCCTATGTTGCTCTGAACAGCCTTTGCGTTGTTGGTAAGTGGACTGCACACTGGAGCCGGTGTGTATCGCCCTCTGTAGGGCACTTGAGTTACTGCTTTCTCCGGTGGTTTGTATTGTAGATGACATGTTCTGGTTAAACTGAACATTTCATCAACAACTGGGGTAAACTAATGCCTAGTCAATGTCCAGACAAACATATATATGCACATTCTCACCTGAAATGAACTATTTCCTATAGAATAGGAAGGAGGATTTAACGAGAGAAGGTGGCTTATGAACATGGGTTGTGGTATGAAGGTGAGTTATGGTCAGAGAAATTAAAATGTCTGGGTCGGATTTAATGCTTGATCCTGCTCTTCTTCCACTTTCCTGTTTAAACTCACTACCAAAACAAACCCGGCATCATCTCAACACAGGAGAATCTTGAAGCTTATCCAAAACCATGTTTACAATTCTGGCAAACTGTTTTACATTGACATATTTTACTCTGAAACAGCCTTCCTGTTTGCATTATGAGTGCATGTTTCAGATCAGTTATTCCTACAGACCTTTAGCTGTACAGGAGTACTGTATGTTTAATGAAATCTACAGTATTTTAGGATGATAAAAAGTTTTTGCATTCTGAATGCAATGCATCCAGAAATGTTACTTTTAAACACTGCATTATATATATATATATACACACACACACACACACACTATGATGTTTTTCAGTTTTTTTTAGTTTATTTATTTTATTTTATATATACACTATATTTTATTTTTTTTTATATATCTGATGTTTATTTTTAAAAATATAGATTTTTTTTTTTTTTTTACATTACAGTAATGAGTAAGAAAATGTGCTTAATTGTCATAAAAAAATGGAGATCTTTTCCTTAAAACAGGCTTCATTGTATTTCAGCAAAATATAATTTATTATTTGACGTTACATCAGCTCTGAATGATTAACAATTACATGTTTTAACCATTTAAATCATGCATATAATACGAGGTGTCCACAATCGAAACGAGAAAACGAGGGGATTGAATATCTCTCTGGATCTGTTTCAGTTCAAGGGTAAAGAGAGAAATGAAGAGAGCGAGAGAAAGAGACAAACAGATGGGTGTCGGGTTGTCTTGTGAAAGCTTGTAGGACAGGAAGTTGCCCTCGTTTGAAGAAGAAACTGGCATCATTTAACAAAGACACAGACTTAGGCTACAGTAGTCAAAATTCACCCTGTTTACTTAATGAATGATTCAGTGTGCCTTATTCCAAATAACTATCTATTTATTTATCTTAATCTTGCAGAGCATAACACTAAAGTTAAGGCATTTATTTTTCTTTCGCTGTATAATAATAATGTGTTTCCTACCATTTTACTAATTTGGCACAGCAGTGGTGTGTCAGAAGATAAAGAATGATGGATAATCAGTACATGCGTTCAATGGACTGTACTGTTGTTTAACAACATAACGATTGTTCAGCTGACAAAACGTCTTTCAGTAGACAAAAACTCTATTAAACAGTTTTTAAACTTGTGAGTAGTACAAATTACAGGACCTTTAGGCCTATACATTGTGCGCCATTGTAAAGAATCTGCGTTCATCTGCGTTAAAACATCCACACCAACCAGTGTTGCCAACTCATTTTCAGAGAAAGTTGCTAAAGGAAGGTCAATTTGTTGCTAAAAGTTGCTAAATGACATTATGATGTCATTGCGTGACAATATTTTATATATCTTAATTTAGATTTGTTTGTAAAATAATATGCATAATATAATATTAAAATATAAATAACAATTTTTGAACACTTACACATTTTTGAATGATAACAATTTAAGTTTTTTTAATAGCTAGTAAACTAGTAATACTACACATTCTCAACCATTATGCTTTAAGCAGTGTATTAGTAGTTAGTTAGTATGCTACACTCTAAGAAAAGCCTGTAAGAATAGGGCACAATCTACTATGTTAATATGAAAGAATTTTCCGTATTGGTTTTTTACTGGCATTTTATATTACACATTGTGTTTTCGGGTTACAATGGATAATGGATAATGTCCTGGAAAATTACTAGCATCTTTTCCATTTTTCTTACAGTGTACTAATTCATATATTAATACTAGACACCTTAATGATAATGTGGACCAAAAATCTTTGTCATATCTTTATGTTAACATACTTTACTAACCTTTTGTTTTGGAGCTTTGATGCAGCCATCATCTTCTCATGGTGCAAACTGGAATTAAACCGCTCTGGTCATGTGACAGTTTGCACTAACCATGTGACACTGCACGTTTAATTGAGACCCTTTATTTTTTCCATATTTGCAGGAAATGCACTAAAACATCAGTCAGTAAGGTTTTTAGAGCTTTATAAATGAAAAACTTTTTTACGGTCACTATTGGGATTAAATGGGTTAAGGATAGCAATCCTTTGTGTCTGTATCGTTAGTTGTGTATGCACGCCTATATTCTCATAGAATTAGATTGACTATTTGAGGGAGTGTTTACACGACACCTTTTTCAATTAAAAACGGAAAAGGGTTTTATGTGTTTTTTCGGCCATTCATTTATATGACAATGGCATTTTGGGTTTTTAGTCGCTCTCATGGATCTGTGTGAACGTTGTTGTCTGAACTTTTCAAAAACGCAAAGGAAAACCTTTTCCATTTTTAATACAATCGTTGTAGTGTAAACGTACGCTGAAACTATAAATGTATAGTTATCGTTACAGTTATTGTGCTTGGTGTGAACGGACCTTAAATGGCAATCAGAATGTCAAATCACAAACTTACAAGAAACGAGCCTTACAAAATCACTCAGACGAAGATGTGAACTGTTTGATGGGTCAGCAATCTCAGCATGCGTACAGTTAGCAACCGACCCCTGTGCGACCCTCGGCCAAACCACACCAAAGACAGGCCTGTGAGTGATTACGCAATTTCACACACACATATTTACACATTCAATCAGCTCCTCTAATCAGGATCTAACCACAAAAAAGGCCAACCAGGGGTCGTTAGGTACCTTTTCTGATGACATCATCAGACTGCCGCGGGTAACCGGAGCTGGACCGGCTCTGGCGACTGTACAGGGCTGTATATCACAGTTTCCCAATAACCGACTGTCCGCAAGAACAGCCATTTATCAAATAAAAGGCCTAGCAGTGCAGACTGTGTGTGTGTGTGTGTGTACGTGCCCAGCCCGGGCTCAGATATAAACATAAGTAATCTGTTGAGGTAGCTTTAGCAATGACAGGGCAGTCAATCAGGCCTCCGTCTACATGTCAGCCTGACAGTTTAACAGTTCATGGGAGATTTATTAGCCACGGGTCAGATCAAATAATATATCCCCAGTCTGCTCTTGTTTAGAATGACTTAGCTCTATTGATTAGACTCACCCGTGAGGCCCCTTCTGACATGGGCAGAGCTCACAGGAAACTCAGCTAAATTGCCAAACCACAATATATCATGCTTTGATAATTCAATGAGATGGTCTTCATTTATCATATGGGTGAACAGCTACAGTGATTCTGGAAAAAGGACATCCTAAATATGCCTTAAAAAGGAACAGTTCAGCAAAAAAAAAGTAAATTCATTACTTTTACTCTCATGTTGTTCCAAATCGGTATGTGAATACATGTAACTCTTTTCCATTGACCATCAATCAAGGTCACAAAAGGACCCAAAACAGCATAATAGCACTACAAAAGTGGTATAATTATATTATATTTCATATTTAACAGTTCAAAAGTGAAAATAAACATGAAACAAAAAAAAAATATGGGTTTGGAATGACATGATGGTGAGTAAATAAATAAAAATAGGATAAAATAATGATGATAATAATAATAAATAGATAGACAGACAGATAAAAATAAATAATATTAAAATAAATAAATAAACAAACAATAGAATTGGACTAAAATGAATAACTATATAAATAATACGTCTAACAGTATAGTACTACAGTGAGTGAAAAAAAAAACTTAATAGAAACTAAATAGTTATTTTAAAATTATTTTTTACCATTCAAGTTTAGATAAAAACTGTTTAAATAGTGTAGAAATAAGTTAAAAAAAAATGTAAATAAATAATTAGATTAATTCAGCTAATTAAATACACATTAGATATTAATAAATAATATAAATTAGATTTAAAAAAATAAATAAATAAAACATCTAACTGTATTTTATAATAGTGAGTAGATAACATAAATTTAATGGAAACTAAATATTTTCCAAATAATATTTTTAATTGATATAGTTAATAGTATACTCATTTAAATTAGTATAAATTGGGTCTTTATGCATTAAAAAATGTATAGTTGCCTTTTCAATTTTCGGATGGGGGTCCCTCGCATAAAGATGACAATATTTAGGGGTCTATGGCGTCTAAAAGATTGAAAACCCCTCCTTACTGGTGCAAGGCAAATAATTCTGACTACTAGTTTGAACAGTAATTTGTTTAATGTTAAGGTTACTGATTAATGAATCGTCAAACGTTCTGTTAACAAAATAGCTTGGTATGACATCAAATGGATGTACATTTCCACTTAACCTCTGAGAGGTCGATCACATGCGCCTTTAAATTTATGTTCAGCTCCTGCAGCTATTTCCTGTGTTTCGTTACCCTGAAATAACACTGCAGCTTTGCAGCGGTGCAGTCTACAAGCTAAGAAACCAAAAAATAAACATATAAACCTTACTATGTGGACACATGCTGTATTATGACATTCATACAATGTAATCACTCCATAAGTACAATAGGAAAAAGGACCTGACAAGCTAAGATCACTATCAACCATTATTTGGACACAGTTCATTTCAGAAAAGCACACACACATAATGTGCTCTGATTGCAGAGCACTACAGACACTTTTCCACAGTTCCTGACCTACACTGACGGTGGAAGCCATGAGCTCCAGACTTCTGTCAGTGTGATGATGAATACCTACAACAGGAGATCAGAAAAGACAAACAGAGCACACTGGATTCAGTCTACGATCGGAATCACAGAACACTGGATTGCAACCATTTCAAAAAAGCTCTAGTTTAGGTATGCAAAACAGTAGTTTTGACCAAATACCATAGTTCCTACAGTTTTTGTCACTACGTAAAATCATAAATGAATCAATTATAAATAAATATAGGATCTCCCTCACACAACGTAAGAAGTTTTCATAAGATGCCATAGTTTTTGATGACACTGGTTTCTAACACAGACTTACAGCAGTTTTATACAGTTGTGCACTCTCAGAAAAAAAAAAGAAAGTACAAAAGTTGTCACCGGGGATGTACTTTTTTAACAGGTACACCTCTGTACCTGAAGGGTCCATATTGGTACCTTAAATGTACATATCAGTACCTAAAGAGTACATATTAGTGCCTAAAAGGTACAAAAGTGTATCTTTTGAAAAGATAGCTCCCCAGTGACAGCTTTTGTACCTTTTTTTCTGAGAGTGTGACTAAAACCCAGAAGACTAAATTCACCTTGAGTTGCCTTGAGATTTTCCTATGGGTTTTTTTTATAATGTTTTTTTTATTTTGTATTAATTAGTAAAATAAGGTCTGCGGTAAATATAACTTGACAATACCTGTACATTTTGTGGCACAATGTAAACCACACACACACACACACGCACTCACACACTCACACACTCACACACACAAACATTCTTATTAGCTTCTTATTATGAACCATACAGTCTATGTTATGAACATATGAACAAAAATTCACGTTTTCAGTATGGGTGTGTATGACATTGTAGAGCAAAATGTTAAAGTATTATCAATTTATCTTTACCACAGACCTTATTTTACTCATTAATTTAAAATATTGTATTAAAGTAGGCCTATTGTACTACTATTGTAGTAAAGTAGTATTTCAGTGAAACACAATAGTGTAATAGTGTAGCACTATTGCTAACTGATTTCTATGGAAAATAGCTAAAGCCTGCTAGCCAAATGTTGCTAGATTAGGTCATACCGGTGAGTCTTGGAAACCAGATAAGGTTTGTCCTAGAAGTCAATGAAAGACATCACTAAAGGGGTGTGTAAGTTGCTAAATCTAGTAAGAAAACTGCTAAATTGGCAACACTGCTCACACAGAAGTCATATTCAAACCAAGCGTTTTTCTGTTGGTCAAAGTGGAGAATTTGTGTGACCAACCTGAACCTGTTGCGAAATCTGCTTAAAGGGGGCATAACACATACAGTTTCACCCAATCTCATGTTAATCTTGAGTACCTATAGAGTAGTACTGCATCCTTCATGTCTCCAAAAAGTCTTTAGTTTGATCATATTTATAAAAGACAGATACAGCTTTACGATTCTCTCAGGAAAAAGCAGATCTCCTGGAGGCGCGCCGTGGGCGGCGCTAAAGAGTGACGAGTGGGCGCGCTCTTCAGGAGAAATGCCCATATAAGGAGTTCCACCCTTGTCTACGTCATGAAGAGCCACGATCGAAAAAACTCTCCGAAACTTGTACGAACCCGGAAGTAAGATTTTTGGCACAGAAATACTCCGTCATACGTCCAAATTGTTTTTTGAAACTTTGTCCATGCTTAGCATGAGAATCCAACTCTTTAACAGTGTAAACAACTCTGAATGTATGAAACAGCATTGTACCCCCCCTCCCCCCTTGAATAAATCTTTTGCCCAGATGGCATGAATTCCAATGGAAATTACTGGATTTCATCCACAGAATTTCGCTGTACAACAATAAATGTGACCTCGCATTTAGACTAAGCAACTATATTACTTGTTTGATTTATGTATTCCTATTATTATTATTATTATTATTATTATTATTATTATCATCATCATTATCATTGATGTTGTGCCTAATAAATTCCCTTCCCCACGAAAATCACTTTAACACACTTCTTGTCTTGGCTCATCACTTGAGTAACTAATTTTTTGGCATTGTTTTACGTTGAGAAAACGTAAACATGTACATTTAACTACTCCACAGTTCACGTGAAACAACTGCTCGACATTCACTCCATGTGCCTAATTATCACTCTGTAATATACTGTCTTTTTACGCGTTGCGTTGCATCGCGCCACGCCACGCCGCGCCGCGTAAACTTAAAACCATTTCTGCATTTGTGATCAGAGAAATAACAAACAAGCGCTACTCTACACTGCCCAAAACTCGCGTTTGAATCATCAGTGGCAAATCCTTTAAATGAAAACGTACTTACAGTCTGTGAATCAGAACAGCAGGCACTGTAGTCTACTCTCCCAGGATCAGGAAACAGTCCTCCATAAAATGCACTGCACACATCTGAATATTTGGGTTGAACTGTTCTGGAACAGTGTTGTAAATACAACTTAACCACTGATTTCTAGTCGTGTCCTCTTTTGGAAGGCCAAACAAAGTTGTTTCGCTTTCACAACGAAACACACGGTAGGCTTGAGTGAGGAACGGCCGGTGGGCTTGAGAACGGTGCGGCCGGCGGATTCGACGAAGGAGCGTCCGGAGGGCTTGCGGCAACCACATGTGACGACCCCGGGCTGGACTCCGCTTCGTCCACGGTGAAAGACGATCCAGCGATCCACAGCGCGAAATTGATGTATTTCCTCAGCGACCAGCACGGATCAGCTCTAGGCATGACGAAGCGGATATCGTCCTCTTTTGGAAGACCAAACAAAGTAGTTTCGCTTTCACAACGAAACACAGCACCTTCACGACATGGCGGCGGCAACAACAATACTACAGCGAGAATAAAAGTTACGCCTTCTTTCTTTGCGTGAACATTTGGGCGGTGTTATGCAAATCTTCCCACATAGTGAGGTAGATATGTGGGGGCGTGTTAGAACCAGCCGTTTTAGGTAGGCGTGGTTTACTCTTAATTTTTATAAAGAATATCTCTTTGGATTTGAGACTTTAGTCTTTGCAACTTTACAGATCTTCTTTATGCACCAAGAGCTTGTAACACTCCAAAGAGAAAGGAAAAATTGAAATCGCATCATATGACCCCTTTAAGAAAAGAGATTGCATACGTTGCTGTTGCGTAGCAGCTACGCACATCTGACGTCCTCGAGCACATTTCCGCAATGAATCCTGGGAGGAACTGCGCATTTGGCGGAATGTTTGAACAATTTATACAAATCCTGGCTCACGATGGCAGCGAAAAGCACAAATAATATAATACCAGGTCGATGATATATTGAAATCCAGACATTCTGAATAATCCAGCAACATGGACGGCAAAGGCAGTGAGGAACAACACGAGAGAAATGAAATCGCCAAACGGACGCAGATGAAGTCGAAAGTAAACAGACTGAGACGGAGCCCGAAAGCAGCGTCGCTGAACCCCGGGCAGACCCGTAACACAGGTACCAAATCAGCCAAAAACAGACAGTAATGTGCCTCTGGTTTCGTTCATGACCAATTTGAAAGCTCCAGCTTATTGTTTGGACGTTAGATAGTTTTTATATAAAGTATTTAGTTCAGTATCCTGAGTTTTGTAACTTTAAAAACACAAATGTGTTTACATTTTAGAAAATGTTCATAAAATAGTACTGCAAACTTGAAGAAAAATGCTCTGGTCAATCTCAGGCTTGACCTCAACTTGATGATTTACATTATTTTGATTGATCCGTCTTTTGACATTTTATCAGATGTCATGAAAAAGGCAAGAATAGCATAGTAGGAAAGTCCCACAAAGTACTATGAAGTTTTCTGTTTCTGCGTTAGATGTTAGTTAATGTGCATTGCACAACCATCAGAAGCAGCCATGTGTCTTTATTAACTAGGTGAAATGCCTTGTGTTTTATAGCAGAGTTCAAAACCCCCACACGTCCGGTGAGAGGCCAGTTCAGAAGATTGATACCTGACGACTCGCCCAGCAATGATCCTGATTTTCAACAAGATATTATATGGGATACGACATCTCCATCACCCGTTCGACATGGTATGCATGTCTATTGGACTTTGATGTTCTCCTTTAGACATGCAGTATCAAAGTATGACAGAAGTGTGTTTATTTTCAGGTCGCGGACAGAGGAGAGCTGCCAGTGTCAGAGCGGTGGATATATCAGACATCGCCAATCGGATCGCTCCAAAGGTTTGCTCGAGGAACATAAACCACCACAATGCTAGTGTTTTCAGTTCAAAATGTCTGTAGTGGTATTGTCAAATGCTGTATTGTAATGTATTTGTTTGTCTGTAGAATGGAAGACTAGAAGAAGGGGACTCATCTTTGCTGCAGTGGATTGGGGATAGTGCCATTCCCTGCACACCAGAAGTACAGCAACCCCAAGTCAAGCCCGTGTCGACAAAGTAAGCCAGGCTGGGAATCTTTAAGCACCTCACGATTCGATCCGATTCCAAAACTATTCTACATGTTTTTTTTTTAATTCATAAATTAGTTTAACTTCTTTAAATATTTAATTTATGCTATTTATTATTTAATTACTTATTTAATTATAAGTACTTGTATCACACATTATTAATAAATTAAAACCATTTCAAAATAATGTAGTATTTTTCAATTAACTAAATATAGCGTCAAAGGATATAAGCAAATAGACAGTAATAAAGAACAAAGATATTACAAGCAGTAAACAATATAAGAGTGCTTTAACTATCTAAAAGTTTCCAGACAAGAATATTGAGTAAATTTTCTTATTATTATTGATGACATAATTGACAGCTGGAGATCTAATAAGCTGCATTTACACCGCGCATATATGGTAAACACTAAAATAGTTTTTTTCCCTGATTTTCCCTGAAAATTTATTAATTTAACTGTTCTGCATGCCCCGCCTGTCCATATATAAAGGTAGGAGTAAATGGCTATATATTAAATAAATGTGTTGATGCTTTTGAATGATCTAGTGATTAAATATTTACAAATTAAATGTACCTATATTATATATTTTATTCCCTTTTTTAATTATTATTATTTTATTGATATTTATTATATTCTCTTTTTATTTTGAACTTGTTGGACAATCCAAAAGATCTAATTATTTGTAATAAATGAGTGATAAAATTGGCAGCTTCACATTATGATAAATACTATATTAATGCAGCAAGGTGCAAAGTTGTTCGTTTATGCATGAACTACACATTAACGATAAATGGTACAGAAAAATAGGTATAAATGTATATAACATCATCACTCTGTCTGTACTTATCTAAATTCTGCTGATGTGTATGTCGCAGACAGAGCACTGTAGAAGATCTAATGCGGCTGGCGAAGCAGTTTGACTTCAACATGAGGCAAGATGAAGCTCAAGAACAGAACTCCGATGCACCGGGTTCAAAACATGCTGAGGAACAAGAGCCGCCACATGACGACCGATTCACACCAGCTCACAATGGTTCTGCTCTAAAACCCAATGACGAGAAGCCTGTTGATGAAAGGGGACTTTATCAGGAGGTGGACGATGATCTTGATTTCCTTTTTGATGGGCCGACTCAGCAGCTCAGCGGGCGTCTCAGTCAGGCGTCAGATTATCGTACTCAGGAAGCTCCTGAGAGAAATCTCAGCATTGAGAAAGCCAGCGATTCACAAAAAGGTTCTACGTTCACTATGGCAGAAAACCATTGCAGTAAACAAGTTAAGAAGGCTGATGATTTTGATGACGACTGGAATAGTGACGGTTTACTCGATGACTCGTTGCTTTTGGAGATGACGCAAAACCCGGACCTGTTTGCTGCACCGCAGTACAGTTCAACACAAAAACAAACTCATGAGAATCATAATACTTTCAGTGCAAGGACAAACAAAACACAACAAGCTAAAAATTATGTTGAGCGTGGCACATTTCAAGGGCAAAAGACGAAAAGTGAACAAAGTTTTCAGCAGGACTCTAGAATGCATGCAAAGCCTTATGGAGGGTTGCCTAGAATTGGAAATCACGTGGAAAATAATTTCACAAATCCAGTTTTGCCAGTTCTTCCAAGTTGCTTTAATGGCAACCAGAATCAGCAATATCAGCACAAAACGCAAGTACGACAGCTTCAGGTTATTCTGAATTCATCTAAGCTCAATGCTGTTTCCTCAACGCACAAGAAAACCGAAGAGATGCTGCCGTCCTCCAGTCTCAGTACTGTAAAACCTCCTCATTCAAATCCTCCCAGCATGCACCAGAATCCAAACTCTGGAGGCATTAAACAAGGAGAGGATGCCGTTACACCCCGAGATGGCTTTAGTGATGTTTTAGATGAAGACCTGGACTCTTTTTTTGCATCTGACGACATCTGGGATGACGGAGTGGAGGACGATGATCTGTTTTGTGAGGCGTGTGATAATCTAGAGGAGTTATCTGGCAACGCTGAAACCCCAGCCACAAACAACCAACAAAACACCACAAAAGCACTACAAAACAAGCCGTATGGCACTGCTGAAACGGCCAGTCAGCAAACGGTGTTTGCTCATCCTTATGCTCCCGAAAAGCCGGCCGCTAATGTTTCCACGTCCAGTGCAAACACATCAGTGTCTCTGTACGGCCAGAAAGCTCATGCGGTGAACTCTGGGCCTGCAGGACTCGGCTCTAATGTGTCATGTGATGCAACGAGGCCATCTGGCCCCTCAAGTAATGGACCGTATAAATTCAAACAGGTGAGAAGCTCATCTGTGGTGGGACGGGGGACCTGTGCTGTTCCCCCCACACAGCAGGGTCACGAGAGGGGCGTGCTGGCCGTCCTCCAGTCAGATGTGAGAACAGCAGACAGTCATCAGTTCAGAAAGCCGTACAGTGACTCGTTCAGGTCTGCGCCGGTCATTGCCAAAGGTACAGTTAATGTCACATGCACTTTGCTTTATTATTGTGGTGCGCAAGTGTTATGTAGGGGTATTTTAATAATAATTTATTAATATTAGTTTATATTATTATAATAATAGTTTAATAATTATATAATATTCATAGTGAACATTATATTTTATTATACAGTACCATTAAAAAAAAAATAATGTTTTGAAAAGACGCCTCTTATGCTCACCAACATATATTTGATAATTTAATATTGTGGAATATTATTACAATTTAAAATAACTGTCTATTTGAATATATTTTAAAATGTAATTTATTCCTGTGATTCAAAGCTGAATTTTCAGCATCATTACTCCAGTCTGCAGTGTCACATGATCCTTCAGAAATCATTCTAATATACTGATTTGATGCTCAAAAATAGAATTATAAATCTTTTTGTAACATAAATGTCTTTACTGTCTTTAGCGAGAATAAAAGTTACGCCTTCTTTCTTTGCGTCAACATTTGGGCGGTGTTATGCAAATCTTCCCACATCGTGATGTAGACGTGGGGGTGTGTTAGAACGAGCCGTTTTAGGTAGGCGTGGCTGACTCTTAACTTTTATAAAGAATATCTCTTTGGATTTGAGATTTTAGTCTTTGCAACTTTACAGATCTTCTTTATGCACCGAGAGCTTGTAATACTTCAAAGAGAAAGGAAAAATTTAAATCGCATCATCTGACCCCTTTAAGACCAATTTATTGCCTCCTTACTGAACAAAAGTATTTTTATTTTATTTATTTATTTTTTTTTCAAAAAAACTTGAATGGTACTGTTGGTCCTAGATCTGTTAAATAATTAAAAAGAAAAAAAAAGTAATTTAACATTTATTTAATAAAAAATCCTAGATCTTGGCATTATATTCATTACATTTCTCGCTTGCATCAAGGTTTCCAAAATAAATGATATTTATTGACTGTGTTTTTCTGTAGATGTGTGTAACTCTGGAGCCGTGAGGTGCAGTGATGCTGAAATTGAGGCGAAGAAGCAGCAGGCTGTGGAGAGGCAGAGACTCAGGATGCTGGCCAATCAGAACCTTAGAGCTCCTGTCTGATTCACTGTTGCTATGGAGATGCACAACAAAACAGGTATATGTGTGTATAAAGAGTTACACTGTGTCTACACCGCAACTAGAACTATTGCCATTATAAGCAACACATCTTTGCCGTTTCTTGGATTATAATGGAAGCACATTTAATTTTCCCACATCATGCCGCTTGTTCATGGACAAGGTGTTACCGAAACTCTTTAGGAACTTGTTTTTTTGTTGTTTTAAGGGTCATTCTAATGAGTAGAACATTTGACTGCTCAAAAAAGAAATGTTGATCTAAGGACATATGTTTAGTATTATGCCTGTCAGAGATCCTAGATCAACAGTTGTTCTGATAAACATGTATGCTGACCTTCTCAATAGATCCCCACTGGTCATTACTAAAAATCAGGAGTAGCTGTCACTTTTATTCAAATTTTATGTAAATAGTATAATACATATTTTTCTTCAATTTGTTTAAAAAAGGTTCACATTACTTAAAGTAAATCACTCTTGTTCATTTTTTAAAAATGTATAATGATGTAGAAGAAATTTAAAAAATGTTGGTTGGTTGATTTGATTGTTTTTGTCCTTTTATGAGTCTAAAAGAAGAAGCCCAGAATATTAAAGTGACCTAAAGTGAGTGATGTATAATATTTATTGAGTTGGAATTGTAAATGTAATTAAGGCAATAATAAATAACTTTAATAAAAATATTCTGGATTTTTCATCTTTTTATCTAACTGATTTTTATCTAAGTGTTATACAAGTCATATCAAGAGCTGCAGACTGATGACCACGCTGACACTTATAATACATTTATTTTCAGGTTCCCAAAATCATGGAACATTAATTTAGGTGTTTTCAGAAAATTAGTCACAGTCATAGAAAGTAAAAAGTGGAAAAGTTATGGGTGCAATTAATATAAATATTTATTGCTCTTTTGGCTGGTTCTTCTTCTTTTAAACATATATTGTTATTTGCATTTTCAGATTCAACCAAGCACATATTTAAAGGACTAGTTCACCCAAAAATGAAAATTTCCTGAAAATGTACTTACCCTCAGGCCATTCAAGATGTAGATGAGTTTGTTGCTTCATCAGAACAGATTTGGAGAGGCTTGTGTGATCCAGGCATTAGAGATGTCTGGCTGGAAAGAGGCTGCATATTTTACATATTTTAATGGAATGACAGTGCCATTAATAATTATTTACTATTTATTGTAAACCACGATGTCTCGCAGAGGCAGCAGGCAAAGATCTATCAAAAATGTCAGTGTCCAATTACAACCTGCTCCACTTAACATGCTCAGAGTGAGTCAATCTCAACACAGCTTTCACACAGAATGCTGAAGACAAGCCTTTTATCACCTGCTGGTGTTTTGGCTCTGCTCTTAATAGGTGCAGACAGTACTTGATTTGAAAAATACAGGTGTGTAGCAGCTCTGACTATGTGGTTTCCTTCAAAAAGGAACTTTATTTAGTTGAGGGAATAGTTCATCCAAAAATGAAAATTTGCTGAAAATGTATTCACAAGACATAGATGAGTTTGTTTCTTCATCGGAACAGATTTGGAGAAATTTAGAATTACAACATTTACTCACCAATGGATCCTCTGCAGTGAATGGGTACCGTTAGAATGAGAGTCCAAACAGCTGATAAAAACAGCACAATAATCCACAAGTAATCCACACCACTCCAGTCCATCAGTTAACATCTAGTGAAGAAAAAAGCTGAGAGTTTATAAGAAACAAATCCATCATTAAGACATTTTAACTTTAAACTGACACTTCTGGCTAAAATATGAGTCCTAAAATTAATGTCGTCTAAATCAGGAGAGAAATATGCACAGATCAAGCATCATTTACAAGCAAAAACAGTTCTAAACAAATGTTGGTGGATTTTGATGTGAGAGACAACAGAGAGTTTTATTATGGATTATGGACTTGTACTTTGGCAAAAGGTTAAAGTTAAAACACCTTAATGATGGATTTGTTTCTTACAAACACGCAGTTTTTTTCTTCACAAGACATTAATTGATGCACTGGAGTGGTGTGGATTATTGTGATGTTTTTATCAGCTGTTTGGACTCTCATTCTGACAGCACCCATTCACTGCAGAGGATCCATTGGTGAGCAAGTGATGTAATGCTACATTTCTCCAAATCTCTTTTGATGAAGAAACAAACTCATCTACATCTTGCATGCCCTGAGGGTGAGTAGATTTTCAGTAACTTTTCATTTTGGGGTGAACTATTCTTTTAAGTCTGAACTAAGTGTTTAAACTCAGGGAAACGGGCAAGGCTTCTCCGTCGGTCTGTTTCTCATCATTAGCTCTCTGACACCTGTCTGACGCCGCTGTCCTCGGACACCTGCGGCACACATGAGTGCTCCTGAAAGTCGAGTCTTGTTATCGGCCTGCCGGTGTGTAACTGTAGCTAGCACACAGAACTATGAAAAGCCCCCGCGGGCCAGAGATGCGGTTTCACCTGACCAGCCGAGCATCCAGGCACTTACTGCACCGCGTGTTGTCTGAACTCTGATGAGGACAGCATGAATGGAGCATTCTGGTGAGCTTCATGTCGTACATGCAGAGATTAGTGTGTGTTTTGGTATGGGGTTGACTGAGGATTACATAGCTGAAGTCAAAGGTCTACATCTATGCTTCATTAACCACTGGTTCCCTAGCAAGTACACACATTAAGATGATGAGGTTGCTGTTTAAGCTGAAAAATATCTCCATTTACAGCACTTTGGTAGCTTGTCAAGTATTTGAGGCAGGTTGTGTTTGATCGATCAAGTTTGATCAATCGTGCTTAAGAATTGCACCATCGTGGGAAACCTGGAAATATCAGGGACTGGAAAAAGTAATGGTAATCCTTTAAAAAATGTCTATAGTAAATGAATATTCCTATTTGTTTTGCAGTTCTAAAATGTTTAATCTACTGAAGATTTGTTCTTTTGTGAGTGTAATCTGTACTCTGTAATAACAAATGATTGGAAAAGTCATGAAATTCATTGGCCAAAAGGTCTGGGAACCTTGATTTTCAATTCTGTTTGTCCTTTAAAAAAAAAAAAAAAAAAAAAAAAAAAAAAAAATTAGTTGTTTAAATACTAACAGCTTCACATAATTTATTTTGTATAATTTATTTATATGTAAATATTTTCAATATTAATCTTGAATGGTTGAAATTTGCATTTTATATTCAACACAATTATATTTAAATATTTACGGTTTAGTAAAGAAACAAATATTTATGTTATACACATCTTTCAAGCACAGGAAATGAAGAGAAAATGTGTATTTCAGTCAGTAAATTAAATCAAGAGTTGACTTTAATTTACTGACTTAATTTCTTAGCTATCTGAAATACACATTTTCTGTGTGGTTTTGTTGCATTTCTTTAGTAAATTATTAATATAATTAGTGTTTTCTAAGCTTGGAAAGGTTATGGACATTTTATTACTATTCATTTTTCAAATATTTAGCTGGCTAACTTGCTTTTGTGCAGAGCAGAATTTGCTTGAAAAGTCACAGTGTAATGTCTGATTTGTTGGTGAATCAGTCTTATGAGTTGGTTAATTTTTTAAAGCATCAAAATCAGACAGAATCTAAGTGATTCATCAGTGAATCAGTCTGAATTGGAAAAAAAAGATGTTTACTAAATCATAAACATCTTTAAAAAATGGAAATTCATTGGTCAAATGTGTTGGAATCCATAGGATTACAAATTCGCTGTAAGAGACTGCACCGTTTATGCCTGTATTGCATTTTGTTGCTTCATTTAGAGCCAGGATGGCGCCCCGTCGCCAGCACATGGACATGGAGAACAGGTTTAAACTGAAGCAACAGGATCCTCACTGTCCTTTTGTCTGCTCAAGAAACATGCTTATCAGCAGCCTGTGTGCAGAAATAAAGTCATCTGAGAATACACCTGAACTCCAGCTGAACCCGCTCTCCTCTCTGCTTTACTCCGATTCTCTCACTTTCATCAGTTAGATTGTTCTTCTCCTTCCCAATCAGTATGGACACCGATACAAAGTATCGCTCGCTGTTTCAGACACTGGGCCTGAGAAAAGCCAACCTGCGAGGCCAAGACTATTGTGCTACCGGGGCACAGATTTTGGAAGTGGATCAATGTCCTCTGGTGTCTATGCATGTGTGTGGGAAACAGCAGTGTGTGTGTGTGTGTAGTTGTAAGTGATAGATGTTCAAATTTGTCTGTTGTGCTTCACCTGATGTTGACTGATACAGTTGGTCTTGAATCTCTCCTGCAGAAAGATCCTGTACGGGACCCAGTTTTTGCAAGGGAAAAAAAAAATGACGTGTTGGAAAATGTCTGTAAATTTACCCTTTGGTTTATTAGGGTATTTTGGGTCATATTTTTGAGCATTTTTCTGAGTCTGCAATTAATAGACTTAAATACGTATTCTGCACTGAAAATAAGCATGGCCATTTACATTTATGTAAAACATAAGCTGGTCCTCGAAAGAAGGTAGTTAAAGATCTCTGATGTGGGCTGAACATAGACTGTATTAAAACGTGGACGTAGTGTCCGTGACGTCACCCGTTGGTTTCTGAAGAGAGTTTTTGAAGCTCAAAGTGGGCGGAGCGGGCCGTCGCCATCTTGGCAGCGCGTCACTCCCGGATAATCGAAAATGGGCAAAGAGGCGGGAGCTGGTTGCTGAAACCACGCCCACCTAGCTCAACGGTGATGACAGCAGCGGCAATCCACCTGTCACTCAAGTGGCCATGCCCTTACTTATGCAGAACTTTAAGGCTTAATATAATTTAAACAGATGAGTTATAAAAAAAATTCACCCCCCTCACAGTTGTCATGAAGGGCAAAATTAGCTATATAGACCAAAACCACTTTTTGTACCAGGCTGTAAACATGTTTTTTTCTGCTGTAAATTTGGGCATTTTAACATGGGGTGTCTATGGGACTGACTCCCTTTTAGAGCCAGGGTCAGTCAATGAATTGCAGTTTTAGTCACTTCCGTGTTGGTTTCACAAGAGAGACTGGAAGGTTATCGCTTGGGGCTGAAGCATAATTGTATATCTGCTGTTCTGGAACCGCTTTTAAGGATCTTTTTGCTTGCCGACCAACTTAGTCAAGCTGGGAGAGCAGTTTAAACAGGCTGAGACTAACAAACCAGGGGTGCGTTTCCCAAAAGCAACTATGGTCGCAAGTTCCGTCATTACCAACAGAGTTCAATGGAACTAACAACCATAGTTAGCTAACGATGCTTTTGGGAAACGCACCCCAGTTTAGGTTGATTTAATTTGATTTCTTTACCAGGGAAATGAGTTGTAATGAAACGGACTACTGAGATAACCCTTCTTCTGAAAGGTACAACTACATTTTAATACCATTTGATTTAGTGAACGTTTCTTCTGAACATTTTTTCATAGGTGTCATTTCTGCTGGAGACTAAATGGAATAGACCTTAATCAGGTTAGACATACTGAGTTTGACAGGTGAAAACGAGATTGTCACTGATTCTAAATGAGCCTACATGACAAAAATTGTAGTTAGTAACATAATCCATTGCATTACATATTCTAAGTAATATAATCAGATTACTTTTGACCTAACTGATTTATCACATTGATTTGAATACAATAATCTTGTACTATATTGGTAAAAAAAAAAAATACAAAGAGAAAGAAAATAAATTCCATTCGTTGTTACTAACAACATAAAGTGCATTAAACAATACGTGAAGGTTTCCCAAACTGGGGTTTGTGAAGAGACTGCAGGGGGTTAATGAGTAATGAAAATAATAAAAATGTAAAATTATTTTAAAATAACAAAGTAAAATACTTGCCAAAAATTATGCAATATTTGTTTACCTGCATGTCATGTGACCATTAACCATATGCAACCAATAACTTGCATTTTAATGTGTTTGAAAGACAGAAGCCTTCCAAAGACATAGTAATACATTGTTAAATAAGCCACTGAGTGATTCAAATAATAATGAATGTGTTCATCAGCAGTTGATGCAATTTTGAAATGTTGAGAAAACGCTTAAAATTGAAATGATTTTTGTAAATTCAGTGGTCAAATGCTGTGTGGCATCTTTTCTGTGTGACTACAGCCCCCTAGTGACTGGTCTTTGTGTGAATGTCCATAAAACTGGAAGACTTTCTCAATGGATGTAATGCTATTTTAGAAAGGAATATTCAAAAGATGAGAAAAAGATTTAGGGAGAATCAATACATTTTGATAATTAAAATAATGTATTGCTATTGGGCGAGTAATCCTATAATTAAAAAAGAAACTAGTTTGATTTAGGAGTATTTTAAATGTAATATAATATACAAGTACTTAATTTTTGGAACCCGATTATGTAATCCAGATTACATGTAATCAGTTACTACCCAGCACTGGTTGTTAAACAACAGTAATATTCATTGAACGCACTTTTAGCCATCACAGCCTCATTTTCATTCCTGTTGAAGCTTAAATAATGCAGGTTCTTTTCTGTGACCAAATCTAACCGTATCAGAACGTTGCAGTGAGGGGTTTTTGTAACAATCTAACGAAAATGTATACAGAACGATTCTTGTTTTATAACCATAAATGCTGGATTTGCCCCTTTGACTGCATCTTTGATTCAAAAGAGTTCGTTTGTTGTGTATTACGGTCACCTAGTGGGAAAACTATATTACAGCTTTAGGACTTCTAAGGTCACTCCGTAAAATAGCTCGACCTTATAACTCGTAAAATAATATGCTTGTGTTGCAATTTAAGAACGCATGTCTATTTAAAGAAGACAGAAAACAGTTAGAAATAAACTCTGGTCAAGATCAGGTACTTAATTACACTATTAATTAAAATAATTTATTCACATAATGGAATGAAAATGAGATGGAATGTCACAGAATTGAAACAATTGAATATTTGTAGCATCTTTTCACAGTAAGACAAACCAGCTAACGCCACAAAACATCACCAAATTCATCAAATCCATTGCCAACACTGACTTTTGTTATTGATTATTTTTTAACTATCGATGGGAAATCAAATATGAAGTAAGTCTTTAAAAACTGTGAGTATTATATCCGGTATATTAAGAAATTTATGATGAGCACAACACAGTTGTACAAGTCTCAAATGTTTTATTTCTCATTTTCATGAATGACATTTCAATGGTCCCCACAGCATATGACGCAGCATGCAGAGAAATGAAGAAAGAAACAAAACGTTAAACCTAAAAGCGAAAGGTTTTCATTCACTTGTATGTTTCCTTTGTCCAAAACCCCCCCGGCTCTCCCTCCCATCGAAAGCTATACAGATGGCTGTCTGACCCCCAGCTAAAGAAATACAAAACAGAACCGAAAGCAAGGAGCATTAACAGACACATTCTGTACAAAAAATAAAACATAACTCCCTCTTTTTTTCTTTTTTTTTTAAAGAGGAAAGAAAAAAAATCTTCGATGGGAGTGACGGACACCAATCCAGAATAACTCACATTTTTATTTGTTAATTTTCATAATAATAATAATATTTATGGATAAATGTAGTGAAGAAACTCGCTTTAAAATCGTTTCAATATTTAAACATTTACCAAAAGTTTGGCAACGTCCATATATTTATATGTAACTGTCATTCTGATTATAATATCTCAATAGTACGATTCATATGTAAACAAGAGAATCTTAACCCCCCAAAAATCAGATCTACATGCACAACAGAAAAAAAAAAGAGTGAGGGAAACCCTCCCGTATCATGCAAGCACATCACAAGACCTCGACGGTCTTCGGGAAAGACATATTTAAGCGTAGTCAACGTGCAGCAACTGGCGCGAAACGCCGGGTTGCGCGGGAGAATCACATTTAAAGCAAAACAGCGGAGTGACCACGCTTCGAGTTTATTCATCCCCACTGAAAGCGTCCGGTTTGGTCTCTCCTTTTTGAACAATCGAATCCCACGGATCAATCTTTGAAATGACGAAGGAAAAGAGAAACTGATCAGTCAGTCAGATCTGATTTTGCGTACTTCCGAGAACCAACTCGATTAAAGCTTAGAAAAACCCGAACCCACAAAACACACAATCTGTCCTTCAATCCCTAATATACAAATATAAGCTACTTAGGTCTTTACAATGCTGCCTGCAGTCAAGTTGGAAAAAACCGTAAATTTCCACACAAATATTCAAATCAGGTGTTATTGTGGATTCAGTTTGCCACAATATGCACTGTATCCTCATATGTAACTACAATGTCGAGAGGTAAATCAAAATTACTCGTTTGCGGTGTTAAAATGATAATAAATGCAGAATACACGCATAAAAATGTCCAGAAGTTTTACCGATGGCACTGTTCCATCCTACAGTAACGTGGTGTGATCTGATCGTCCCTTCCCACCCGACCCCTGCGATAAAACACCGGTCTTAAAAGTAAACCATATGCATATATGTGCACAACTTCAAATATATTTGCTTTTTATCCTATAGTCTACTGTATATCAGAAAGCAAGACGGTAGATGAACTCCCTGACAATATTAACACAGCACACGTTACATACACTCACACATTTTCGGTAAAAAATTCAAATCGGATTTGCATTTTGCATGTGATCTGAAGCAGATATTTGCTCAAAAGAGGTGGAAGCAAAAAACAAGCTCGATAATAAACTTTTTTTTAATCTCCCCATGACATGAAGAACATCAGATAGCGATTCCAATATTCAGCTATTGTTAAATCCCACGTATAGGCCTATGTTACGATTGGCACTTCATGCTTGAAGCGTGTTGCACTGAAATCAAGTGTCAAGTCATATATATCGCTCACATACACATATTCCCTGTAGACCTAGATCATCTTTAAAAAAGACAGGACCAAAATAAATACAAAAATCCCCCCTTCAAAAAGAAAAATAAAGAACGTACAAACATGCATACACACACACACACGCTCACACACACCCCGTCCTCTCTTCCTTCTCCACCACACTGAGTCGCTCGGTAATCGATAGAGAAATCGTCTCTCTGACTGTCCTTAAATACCCGAGAATGTGGACAGAAGAATCTCATGCTCTATAACACTTAGGATGGCAGGCGTCACAAGGCTCAGGGAGTACAGACGGAGAACAGAGGCATCATTCAGAGAAATACTTCCATAGAAAGAGAGAGAGCAAGAAAAAGAGCGACAGACAGAGAGAGAGAGAGAGAGAGAGAGAGAGAGACAGAGAGAGAGAGAGCACGTGTTAGCGGAACATCTGGAGCTGATTCTCAGAAATGGAGAAGTGAAAAGAGGGTGTTCAGTGAAGGGCCTGTTCCATCTTTTCACACGTCCACCACCATCTTTTTGTGAATGTCTAAGCCACCAACCACCTGCGGAAGAGAAGGAAAAGGGTGACACGAAAAATGTCAGTGCATTAAAAAAAAAAAGCATACTAATTTGATAGCACATTAATTAAAGCACCACTGCTAAAACATACCAAAACTAAAAACATAAACTGGAAAAATATCAATAACTAGTCAGTTGTTCGACACATAGTCTACTATTGCAACCAACTTTAGAGACAACATTCCAACAGTTGACAAACAGCCAAAAAATTAAAGATATTATGGTAAATACTATTATGAACATGTTAATTATATTCATATTAAATGTTAATTATTATCTTTAATGTTCACTTTACTAAAAAATCACTTCGTAACTTTGCAGATATTGTTTATGCTCAAACAGCAACATTACACACTAACTAACATTAAAAATGTGAAATCGCAATCAACCACCCCTTTAATTAGTGCTTCTCTGATGGCGTGTTTTGACTATGTCAGCATTTATTTGTGCACACAATGTGGATAAGCTACAACAGGTAAACTATGGAAAGACGTCAATAAAACAGCTTCTAGAGGAGAATTTTGCTAAATATGCTCTATTACATATTCTTTATATTTGTTCTTAGCCTGTTGTCCTCATTATTTCATATACATATAATAAATCTCATGAAAACACGGTTTTATTGCAGACACAGTTTAAATGTTTATATTTTAATAACATATTGGAGTAGAAACAATTATATCAGAAAGTTGATAACTTGATTATTCAATTGGTTATTAAATAAACTTAAATTTTTAGTTTCGGTAAAGTACTTCTGGTGCCTCACTAGTGAAAATTAACCCTTTGTTTTATTTTCAGCTTATTTTCTCTTGCAGCAAAAGCTGAACATGGCAATTGCAGAAGAAAGTGTTTGGTGTGTCAAATTTAGCTGTATCCCAACATTAAAAACCAGACCCAAAATGAAATGACTCACAATGCAGAACTCCTCGAAAGATATCCTCCCGTCCCCATCCTTGTCTGCGTTGATGATGGTTTTGTCGACGATCTGCTGCAGCTGGGTGTCCTTCAGGTTATTCCCTACCATCATCTTCAGCACCTGGAACAGCTCACCGTTGGATATGTAGCCATCCTTATCCATGTCATAAATCCTGAACGCAACTGCAGAAACAAACAAAGAATAAAAAAACCTGACAGAAAGTGTGATCAAATGCTTTGCTCCAGTGCACTACAGACTAGTTTTATGAGGGGTTTTTGTGTTTATTTTGGTTTGGCTCAACACTGGATGAACATAGTTGTACTAAACTCTTAAACTTAACTAGAGGAAAGTGTTGGTGAAATTCAAGACTGAAAGACACTCACAGCGGAGCTTCTGCTCCTTGTCGCCTTTGACGCTGAACTGAGAGACGCCTTCAATGAACTCTGCAAGAAAAAAGACGGAAAATGGGAGTGTGATTTACACTCTTCACCTTTAATCGGGTCAAGTTATGTTCATGCATCTGAACTCCTCTAGAAAAGAGAGCCTCTGAAACCAGCATGGAGCTCTGGTAAATCTTGTGCTTCCACAAAAGTGCACTGGACTTCTCAATGCAACCATTTCAACTGAGATCTGTGTCAGAAAATGAACACATAATCTTACATTTCCTGTAGGAAATATCGGTTCTTCCAAAAGAGTTTAGCCCTTTGATTCACATGAAGGCAGTTAAGAATGGTTAAAAATATGCAAGGAAAACGACCAATCACAATTCAGCATGCAAATAAATGCAAGCAAAAAACACCAATCGGAATTCAGTATACCGCTGAGAGAACCCGAGTTATCCAGGTCGAGTTTCTTAAACCGCTTTCCTAGTCTTTTAATCTCATCAGCATCAACTGAAATAGAGAGAGAGAGAGAGATGGACAAATAGTGAGAACAAGTCATTTCAACACAAAACACAAACAATGCATCCTTTTCTCTTAGATTTTCCTCAGCTACAACCATACATCCATCTTTAAAATGTCAATTTAAAACAGCTTCAAAGATTGCACAAGTTTTAAAACACGCACTCACACACACAGGGACGCAATATTCCACATCCAGGGCTCTCACACACACTTCCATTCACCTTTGGGTGCCATCAGAAAGCCAGAACTCATCCCAGAATGAGCCTTACCCAGTTTCTCCTGCCTGGCAGTCATGGTCATCCCTCAGAGGACTGCTGTTCAACTACAGCTCGCTCTTGTGCTCTGTGGGTCCGCTAAATGGCCTAATCTCATTCACACAGCCACGTGGTGCACACCTCCAGTAATCGGCTGCCAGACGGTTTGCTGATAGCACTGTGCAGTTAATCGAATTAAAAATCGAAATCACAATGTGGCCGAGAGCAGCGATTCTCAACCTTTGTAACACTTCAGGTCCCTCGATGTCAGAGGCCCCAATACATCTGTAAGAAAGTACTTGTACTTCTGCATAACTCACTCTGCTCAACTAACATAGACATTTTAAAGGAAATAACGATTAAAAATGCTGATATAAATACTGAGGTCAAGTGTACCATTTAAGAAGACTAAACATGGTAAACATGGATAAAATGAAAGATTAATTTGAATTTATCACTAATTTAATGATTAATTTTAGATTTCTCATTTGAATTTTATATGCTTTTTTAAAAAAAAGTTAAACATTTAAAAAAATATATTAAATACAAATGTCTGGCATGCTAATTTTAAGTGAGTGCAATTGTGTTAACCCATTAAAATCACTAAATGGAAATTTACCAGATTTTTTAATTTATTTCGCTTTAATTTATATGTCTTTGCATGAACAAACATAAAATAAAACATTTGAAGTTTTCAGCCATTTTAAATATAATTAATATAATTGTTTGTAACAATTGAAAGTTACAATAATTTGAATATACATGAGGTACTGCATACTCAGAAATTCAGAAAAACTAAACTAATGTCTTCCATTGAGGACAAAAGTGAATATCTGGGTCTCAGGACGACAGTTTAAGTTCTTTACAATATTCCAGTACAATAACATAATATCAAGTTGACTTTGACTCTGAAGTTTCAATGAAAAGCAAGCAGATGAAAAAAAGAGTTCTGCCTTACTGGTGTTGTACATCCAATTATTCTCTGAGACACAAGAGGTAAAGAGACATATGCTGATTTCTGCTGTGCTATTTTGAGTTTGTGGACACTTCCCTGATTACCCTCAAGCGGATGATGTAACCGCTTATTTTTCATATCTAATAATATGCCATGGATTAACCCTTGATACAGCTAGTGCCAATGTGTGTCATTAAACCAGGTGACTGTATTACACCATCATGCATCTGTCGTTCACCGAGACGTCAGGACAAAGCATGCCAGTGTCACAGTACAAATACTGAAAGTGTTATTTACGCTACCTAAAGGTGCGTTCAAGGCAACAGAAGAATAAAAACAAGAGCTAAAGTTTTCACGCTATTCACTACGGCCCATTCGGCATCAGCAGGGGCAATTGCATCACTGAGCCACAGTATTCAAACAATGTTGAGATGGGAGAGCCAGAGGGGAAATATTTATAGCTGTCATGCTGATCCTCCATGGTTGGTCTCTCACCCTCACCCACTGTAATGGCTGATAAGTGCCTCTCAGAAAAGCCCCCTAGCAACAAGTACGGCTAACCCAGTGGAGGGAGAGCAGCGGTGTACGTGCTCATTAGCGCATGATGGTTTATAAAAATGTGTCAACTGCCGCAATATCATTTCTACCACTGTTTTGTGGTAATAATTGTTGCACTTTAAAAATGCGTCTAAGGACATTACATTCTGCTCCATTTAGTTGTTTTTAAACATAAGAACATGTCTTAATGCTCTAAGAAAGCTCAGTACAAGTTAAGCTCAACTTACAGCATGTGGCATAATGTTTTTTAAAGATAATGCACTCCTACTACTTAAGAATGGGAGAAAGTGCAACATGAAATGAGGTGGAATAGTCCCGCCTTCTTAACAAAAGAGCCAATCACTAATTGATAAAGTCATCGCATCACTGCAGCTGCCTTTAGAAGCTCCAGTTGCTATAGAAACAGTACTTCTAGACGCACATGCACATTGGCAGGTCTGGCATGAAAGCATGAAAGCTTTTTAACGCTATTTGAGAGTAAGAAACAATTTACGGGACCGTTGTCAGATTTCATTGGTGAATTCAAATATGAAATTGAATCATTACCTTTGTGAACAGCTTTGGAGAATTTGGTGTTTCCCCATTCAAAGAGATTCAAAGAGCTGTACTTGCAGGACTGAAATAATAGCTGCCTGAGAGGCATTTCAAAGATGGCCACCGAGTGAATGACTTTCCTAAAAGGGACTTTGTTACCACTGCAGATATTCTTTTTTATTTGCTCTACCTTTTTGTTAAAAGAAATAAGGGCATCTGGGTTACAGTGAGGCACTTACTGCACAATGGAAGTAAACTGAGTCAATTTTTAAATATTAAAATACTATCAATAATAAAGTAAACAATGTGTTGCATAATAACTATACTTGTGTGTGTAAATCCAATTTTATTTAAAATTTATTTAAAGTTTTATAGCTCAACTAATAGTTTTATCAAAAGAATTAATGTAAGTGCTTACATTCATAAATTCTGCTTTTAAATGATCCAAATTTTATTTAAAGTCGAAATCGTTTTTGTGGTAATCAACATTACACTACAAATGCTACCCAGAATACTGCTTTAATTATACAGCACGACCTTAACACCAGTTCAGACGACTGACTGACTAGCAAATTTTGCAAATGCATAGTTTTGCACATTCTCTAATAACCTAGTAATTATGACCCATCATAATGATGCAGTGCTATATTGTTGTGCTCAACCTGGTGACCATCTAATCGCTTGCATTTCACATAAACAGTCTGTGTTTGCCAGATGCATTTCATCTACAAAAATGATTTGGGACAATGTCATAAGTGTCCTGTTACCACAGTCACTAACTGGAGAGAGCTTGTGGTTGCTAAGCACCCATCTGACCAACAGGTGGCTCAGTTTCACAGCAGCATACTTGTTCTCACCCTGTTACAGCCCTGCAAAATTAATTACTGTTGCCTCTTCATTCTGCAGCAAAACCTCTTGGGAATGAAGCAATTCATCTTTCACCCTTCACCTTGACCTCCCACTGCTTTCATCATTATTGGGTTGAATGAGGAAGAACTGATCACTGGATTTGTCAGGTTAGTGGGATGCTAGCATCAGATCAGATCTTTAAGAGGTTTGTCCTTATTCACAGGACACATACATGCAGCTTATTCTTTGCTGTGCACTGTATGTATCCGCAAGACTCATCTTAATCCAATGGTCTTCCCTCTGTGGTCTTGGAAACCTGTGCCAGTGAAGTTGCCATAGCAACATTAAGGGAACCCTGTGCTTGTACCCAGAGAACTCTGGGTAATGTAGTTCTACATAGCTGATCTTAAGTGGCTCAATATAAAAAATGATAATGTTCACATATGCTGAAAAAACTAAATTTACTCAATCAAATTTCACACAAAATTGCTTAAAATTAATGAAGAAATGACAAGCAACACATTGAATTAAACATGACATTTTCAAGTAGAAAGACTGAAATAGTATTTTCTTGTATTCTAATTTGTTTCATTTACAACTTCATTTTTTTTAGTGTATTAAGTGCAAAAAAAGTTTAATAATTTAGATATCATTACACATTTCTGCACATCAGTACATTTTATCTTATCAAAAAGCAATGTCTATTTGTGGAAAGGTTATGTAGTAACAGTTACATCCAAATTAGGGCTGCACGATTAATCGCATGCGATATTTAATGCGCATCTTGTCAGAAAGCCGGTTCTGTAATCAGCGGTAAATCTCCATCACCTGCGGGCTTTCACATTGAGCAGCATTAACTACACAGAGCCGTTGTTCACTGATGAGCTTTATGAGCTGATGAGTTTAGCACAGCTCGTCAGTGAACAACGGCTCGGTGTAGTTAATGCTGCTCAATGTGAAAGCCCGCAGGTGATGGAGATTTACCGCTGATTACAGAACCGACTTTACTGATAAGATGCGCGTTAAATATTGCATGCGATTAATCGTGCAGCCCTAATCCAAATGCATTTCTTAAAGGGGCAGTTCACACAATAATTACAATTCTGTGATCAATTACTCTCTTATGCCATTCCAAACCCGTATGACTTTTTTTTTTTTTACTTAAAAGTTTCTTGACCCTATAACTTTTACTGCTGAACATAAAAATAAATATATTTTGGACTCCACTGACATTCCTAGGTTGGACAAAAATATATCTCCTTTTGGTTTGGAACAACATGATGTTGAGTAAATGATGGCAGAATATTGATTTATGGGTGAACTGTCCCTTTAAATAAATGGAAAGGATAGGCTCTAGATTTTTCAGTCAAGCACTGGTCAGCACTTTTACATTAAAAAAGAGGTGTCAACAGTCCAAAAGCTCCTCTAATGTGTTTGTCAGTACTTACAATGTCTAAAATAGAGCAGAAAAAAAAAAACATAAAAAAGAAACCTATTAAAAATGGACCATCACCTTGTGTTCTTCTACTCACTCCCACCAACTCTAAAAATAAACAGGCTCTTCCTGCAGCTCCGAGACTAACCTTTACCAGCTGGAGGTATTTATAGCCCTTATTTCCACAGTACGCCACCCTGTCTAGTCTGGTTGCACTAGCGCTGGCCCTGCTCCAAACCCGGAGAGCCCCACTGATCCAGGGGATACCCTCTGCCTCACATCTTGATCTCCAGCTGATCCCAGAGCAACAGGCACAGGTGTTTAAAGGGCCGAACTAGACTACACTGACTGCTTATACCATGAGCAACATGTAAGTGACTAACCACAGGACATCTTTGTTTATGATGTGAATGCAAAATTAAAATTTTAAGTTAAAGTGTCCCTATTATGGATTTTTGAAAATTACCTTTCATGCAGTGTGTAACAGCTCTATAGTGAATGAAAACATCCCGAAAAGTTTTAAATCTGAAAGTGCACCGTGTATAAAGTTATTGTCTCTCAAATGAAAGAGTCGACTCTGAATCATTTAAACGATTTACGTCAACATGAAACATTAGCATATTGCCACAATAAATAAGCACAATTACTAGAAACATTTGGTATCAGTTTTTTAATGTGATGATCGATCCTTTCGATACAACGCCAGTATCACAAGTATTCACACTTATTTCTGCAACTAGAGCTGCGCCTCTTAATCACTGATATATATACAGTATATGGGAAGAACCACTGAAGTTTTAGTTTGACTCGCTGATGCTTCAGTACCTCTGGTGAAATTAAGGAAACAAAAAAACAAATACAATTTGAGGTAAGATGTAGCAACAGCCCAAAATACTTACAGTGTGAGCACATCTCCAAAGGATAACTCGCCTCATTTCCCTGTAGAGAGAGAACAAGAGTCTGAATCAGCATGACAGTGCACATAAAATGTTACTGATCAGTCCTACAGGTTCTGTAAAACTTGACAGACATACAAAAAATATCCAAAGGGGCCGAAGTTCACTTCTAACAGCATAATCAATGACTCGGCCTCATCAAATATCTCAACAAAGCATACCATCTATTATAAGCTACTGTTTACTCTAATGTAAAAGTCGATTTAGTAATCTTTGTATGTTCTCTCTACATGACATACAGCTGTCACAAGGTGAAAGGGTCATCAGAGTCACAACTATGGCTCTTAATGTGTCTTCAGACGACCACCGGGACAAGACCACAGGAACCAGATGAGTCCTCTGCACAATGTGACATTGCTGCAGCCTGGAATTGAACTGCTGGTTTGTCTGGTCAGAGGAGAACTGGCCCCCCGACTGAGCCTGGTTTCTCCCAAGGTTTTTTCTCCATTCTGTCACCGATGGGAGTTTTGGTTCCTTGCCGCTGTCGCCTCTGGCTTGCTTAGTTGGGGACACTTCATTTCCAGCGATATCGTTGACTTGATTGCAAATGATTGCAAAGATACTATTTAAACTGAACTGAGCTGGATGTTGACATCACTGAATTCAATGATGAACTGTCTTTAACTGAAAAATTTGTGTTTACTATTGTCATTTTGCATTATTGACACACTGTTTTCCTAATTAATGCTGTTCAGTTGCTTTGACACAATCTGTATTGTTAAAAGCGCTATATAAATAAAGGTGACTTGACTTGACTTGACTTAGTTAATTAGCTAATCAGATTTGAGGAGTGAGTTTACAGTGCTATGCAGGAGGCCATCAGTCTCAGAGAAGAGACTGGATTTTGCTGTGTATAATACTGTAGATGTCATAGACACTACATAATCAATGATCATATCAGCAATCATCCTGAAAGGGAAATTGCAACATCCTTTACTAATGACTTGATTGACTTAACTCATCAAAAGCTAGAGCGAAGTGTGGTTAATGGCTGATGACTCAAAGTTTGGTAAAATGTTTTAATGTTTTTTAAAGTCTCTTCTGCTCACCAAGGCTGCATTTATTTAATTAAAAATACAGTAAAAAAAGGAATGTTGTGAAATAATATTACAATTTCTAATAACTGTTTTCTTTTTTAATATATTTTAAAATGTAATTTATTCCTGCGATGCAAAGCTGAATTTTCAGCATCATTACTCCAGTCTTTAGTGTCACTTCATCCTTCAGAAATCATTCTAATATACTGATTTGATGCTCAAGACACATTTCTTATTATTATCAATGTTGAAAACGGTTGTGCTATACATTACTATACCTTTTTCATTACTAGAGGGCCACTGGCAAACATGTATTGACCACAATACAAATGGAAAAAGATTTCTAGCAAAATCTAAATGGCAAAATCTCTAGCGACTGACACATGATAGAGTCATACCACCCAAGCATTCCTTTGTCATACATTAAAGTGGAAATACACACTGCAATAAGCCAAGAAAGAAATCAGGACACCCCATCACCATCCAGTTTCAGCACACTGGGACACGCAGAAATAGCAGGAGACAGAGAGAGAAGAGAATATATACCATGATAGAGCAGGATAGAGAGAAGAAAAGTAGAGGAAGAGGAAGGAAAGACAAAGAGAGACACTGTAACAGGGACATCAGAGCTAAAAACTCTCTCTATTAGCAATGCAATTCTGCCCTCGATTTAATGCTAAAAGATTAAAATTATGTTAATATAACCTATATACATACACTATTGATTCAAATTTTGGCGTCAGTAAAATGTTTTTTAAAGAAATTCATACTTTTATTCAGCAAGGACACCTTAAATTAATATTAAAGTGACAATCAAGGCTTTTATAATTATACAAAAAAATTATATTTAAAATAAATGCTGTTGTTTTTAACTTTCGGTTAATAAAATAAATCATAAAAATGTATCAGTTTTCACAAAAATACTTAGCAGCACAACTGTTTTCAACATTGATAATAATCAGAAATGTTTCTTGAGCAGCAAATCAGCATATTAGAGTGATTTCTGAAGGATCATGTGACACTGAAGACTGGAGTAATGATGCTGAAAATTCAGCTTTGCATCACAGGAATAAATTACATTTTAAAATTTATTCAAATAAAAAAAAAGTTATTTTAAATTATAATAATATTTCACAATAGTACTGTTTTACTGTATCATTATTATTTTTTTTATCAAATAAATGCAGCCTTGTTGAACATAAGAGACTTCATGCAAAAAGAGCAGCTTGGACATTCTGATTAACATCTTGTTTCGGGTTTCATGGTAGAAAGAAAATAATACAGCATTAGAATGAGTAAATTATGAAAGTTTTCATTTTAAAATGAACTACAGATGAGACAAGAAAAGGGCAAGATTTCCAGAAAAAAAAAAAAAAAAGGTCGAAAGGTGTGCAGACAAAAATCAAGTTGTTTCAAGTCAGCAAGAGGAATGATGCTTTCATTGAGCTGTGTGCTGAAGGCCTGTTATGACTTGCAGGGAGAATCCAAATCTGCCACAACCTAATAGAGAGTGGGACAGATAAACCGGGACATCACTGTGCCTAGCCGTTTCTAGTGCAACTTCCAGAATATCTAGAGCTCTCCATTAGACGTTTATTACATAGTTTCATAGCTTACAAAGTAAAGTCCCTGTGCGACTACATACTAGAGCCATTTCATGACGCTAAAATAAAAGGAGACGTTTTCTAATATTGTTCTAAGATAAAAATTCAAGCACACTGATAAACCATGTAGAGATAGTAAAGGAGGTGTATTTCCGTACTGTGTGTACATAAGTGTGTGTATTTGCACATATGGTGTGGAAGTAGATTAAACGTGTGTGAGACAGGTCACTTGAGTCACTGCGTGGTCGAACGCTGTTCTCGGACTTCTTTACTGTATTAAACATAGCCGTTTCAGTATGTCCCAAATTAGTTTGAGCGCTCACGTGCACTACAAGCAGACAGTGTTTTGCCATAGCTAGTAGGTTAGCTAAGGTTGAGTGCCCTGTGCTATTTTGACTTTAGTGGTAGAGAGACAGCAAATGAACTTAAAGTGGATTGAGGGTTTAGGATTACTTTATCTGGTACGGTCTCAAGTATGGGCGAGTCGACAGGCAAGGAAAGATGTCTCAAAGCAAAGAAGAGGTGGAGGAAACTTTCATACAAATGTAGCAATGTTCGATTGGGCTACGTTTTACTCTTTATGACATCACAAGACTCCCAATCATGTCCAATCAAGAAGCTCCTTCAGTAAAAATGCTTATTAATAAGACATCAGGATCATCTGAGGTAACTGGCTTCTGGACAGATTTCTTTACTTCCATGACTTAGTATTTTTCCAGGAAATGTTTCCAGTGCTATATGTTTGAAGAAATACTTTAATGAGTGTTCTTTGGGTATACCCAATAAATACTGCATTTATTGCGTATTTTTAAAGGGAAAGGTCAGGTGAAAAGTAATGATTTGAAATTAATATGCAAATCATGCCTTTATCTATAAACATTTGGTTAACAGATGTTCACTTGCATAATTTAGCAGACATTAAAAAAAGCATAAAAAATGTAAGAATGAAAATCTATTTTTAAAATGAATGTTATAGATCTTAAAGTGAATAATTAATCTGTGCATGCATTTCATTTTTAAAAAAATGTTTTGACCTCATAATTTTGAATCAAAATGTCAACTGGATCGTCTGGTGAAAATGGCAGCCTTCTCTATGGGGTTGTATACAGGACTTCTGCAATGGACCATTTTCACAGCTTCTGATGATGCACTTCCACAGTTATTAACATTGTAAATCTAGTTAAGTTTTTATTTTTAATGGTATTATGGCACACTCAGCTCCATGTAATGCATTTTACTATGTTAAAATCTATTCCACTAATTTTCCACCCAAATCAGTGTTGGAATTGTGAAAAACACCCTCAGATATCATCTAGGTCTGTCCACTCAAATAACGCGCTGACAGCAAATTATTTCTATGTATACTTGTTCCTGTTTGCAATAGCGCTACTGTGCTGTAACATCGCAACAAGATGCTACCCTCTCTGTAAAGGGTCTAGTTTTATTTGTGTGCACTCACAATATCAACAAAACGCTGTGCTGTTATAAAATAAAGAAAACAAAAGCTTTCTGCTGTCTCGGGCTTGAGCAGGAGCGCTTTACAATGATGAACCTAAACTCAGACATGATCAAAATATATAGAAAGCTTTAAATTACTACTTTAAAACGAAATAATTCA